ACCTGGCTTTTTTCATTCAGTCTGATTTCACCCCTCCAAACTAACTCAAGGTTTCCTTGAAGGAGGATAAGCTGATCTGTTTTTCTCCAAAGTCACATCTCTTTCAGGAAAGCACCATCAGTTTATCACCATTTCCTTGCTGGTAAAGCAACCACCAGTTCATAGCTGCAGATCCATTATTTACCATCCCTTCAATGACACACACATCAGGTTTCTCATCTCTACCCCTCTATAAAATCCTCTGTTTTAACCTGGGTTCAATCCTCAGCTTTCAGCCTCAGATACTTCAGATTTAACCTGGAAAATTTGACTAAGCAGAGAAACACAGAATGTATTTTATATGTCACATACACAGAGTTGAGGGAGCCACTGGTGGTTCCCCATGTGTTTGTTGATCTGACAGAGAAATAATGCCCTGTCTTAGGCATTTGAAGACACCAAATTTTCCTTTTTGATCAGTGTGGAAATTACAGCTCTTCCCCCTCAGCAGGTCAGAGGTTTTGCAGAAATACTAGTGAACCACACAAGAGCCATAAAATCTTGCTTTACAGGTTATCAGAGTCCTCTAAATCACTGCATTGGAACTTGGCAGATGCACAAGATTATAAACACAAATTGACCTAGACTGGCAACAGTGCCACCAGGTTTTACCTTTTAATGCTTGTTTCAGAAAGAAATTATCCTTGTAATTGAACTGCTTTGTTCTCTGCATCAGCGAATTGCCAGATAAGAGCAAAGTGCTGCTGAGAAATGGTTTTATAGCAAATAAACATGTGAGGAAGGAAACAAAAGAGGTGACTGTAATGTTACAAGGTCAGAGAGGCTTGAGATAAAAATGCCACACTAAAACACATAGAGGCATCCAGCTACAAGGAAAAAAAGCACTTTTTGTGGCTTAATGTGCATCTATGTAAAAGAAGAATGAAAAGGTTGTAAAGCTGTGACAGGGAGAAATTCAACCATCCCCTGCTGCTAAACAGGCAGCTTGTGAGGTTTTCAAGGTTGTACCTAAAGAGGTTGAAGTGATCTCTGGGGATGAGGCAGCAAATGATAAACACCTCCAGAGTTTAATGGTGCAACTTCAGGGACAGAAAAGTGACTTCTGACTGCCCTAAACAATGCCACTTTGATAAACTAAACCATCGCATTACAGACTTGTAAAGCAAGGAGGAGGTTTCCTCCTCTTGCTGTAAATGTCTTTTCTGGGGAAGGGAGCAGGAGGAAGGTGGATTTTTTGCTAAG